AACCCCAGTGCCCTCAGCCGCTCCTCCTGCGGCCCCTCCAGATCCTTTCCCATCTCCGTGTCCCTCCTTTGGACACTCTCCACCGGCTGCAGATGGATTTATTTTGTGGTGCTGAGGCTGCCCCCGGCCCTGGCGCTGAGGCTGCGCGGCCCCAGCCCAGCAGGACAATCCCTGCCCGGCCCAGCTGATGTCCCAGGGCACGGCGGCCTCTGGGCTGCGGGGCACGGCTGCCTCACGCAGCCTGAGCTGGGCTGCCTCACGCAGCCTGAGCTGGGCTGCCTCACGAAGCCTGAGCTGGGCTGCCTCACGAAGCCTGAGCTGGGCTGCCTCACGAAGCCTGAGCTGGGCTGCCTCACGCAGCCTGAGCTGGGCTGCCTCACAAAGCCTGAGCTGGGCTGCCTCACGCAGCCTGAGCTGGGCTGCCTCACAAAGCCTGAGCTGGGCTGCCTCACACCCTGGGCTGCCTCACAAAGCCTGCCCTGGGCTGCATCATGCCAATCTGCCCTGGGCTGCCTCACGCAGCCTGAGCTGGGCTGCCTCACGCCCTCAGCTGCCTCATGCCCTGGGCTGCCTCATGCCAATCTGCCCTGGGCTGCCTCACGAAGCCTGCCCTGGGCTGCCTCACAAAGCCTGAGCTGGGCTGCCTCACGAAGCCTGAGCTGGGCTGCCTCACGCCCTCAGCTGCCTCACGCCCTCAGCTGCCTCATGCAGCCCACCCATGCCAGCCTGCCCTCACAGAACTCCCAGGTCCCTTCCTGTGCTGCTCCCCAGCCCCTCACTCCCCAGGCTGTCCCTACACAGCTTTGCTCCAGGGGGATGTGGCAAGGCCCTGTGAGCTCCCCGAGCTGCTCCAGGGCAGGCTGAGGCTGGAGATCCGCTCACAGCGGTGCTCAGCAGGGAAGGTCCCGGTTCCATCCCTGCTCCTGAGCCCCAGCTCCAGCCTCCCCCACAGCTCCTCCCCCTGGCTCCCCTCACACAGAGGGGGTGCCAGGCTGGAGTAGGAAGCTGAACCCAAAACGCCGTCAGAGCTCTTTTCTTTCTTGTTTTTAACCCTCAAAGCTTCTCCCTCCCCTCCCCTGCTGTTCCAGGCCCTGCCTCTGGCTGCCCATCCTGCTGCAGACCCGCTGCTGGAGAGCTCTATCGAGTGCCACAGGCTGAGGGGCTTTGGCAGCTCTCCACACAGCCGGGAGGAACAGCAGACAAGGAGAGAAAAGAGCCCAGGCTCTCCCATGATCTGCTTCCCTGGCCTTCCCCGGGCTGCTTTCAAAGAGGATCCGTGGGAGATGTGGAAAGGGCTGGCGCTTTTTGGCTGGGGCTGCTCTGGAAAGCGAGGCAGCAGCAGAGCTGGAACACTCAAACTCCTCTCATGTCCTAGGCAGAGGGGCAGGCAGAGCTGGGGAATTTTGGGAGGAGCTGCCTTCACTCTTGCAGGGAAAAGCAGTGGCACTGTGTCTACCTCCAGCCAAGTGAAAAGGTTTTCTTTTTTCTCCCTGTTTTCTGCCCTCTCCAAGAGCATCTCAGGAATGGGGTGACCTCCTGGGAGGAAAAACACAGCCCCAGATATCCCCCCAAAACCCCAGCCTGGCTTTGCTGCACCCTGCCATCCCCAAGGATATCCTTGGCACCTCCACGACCTCTCAGCCCCAAAAGTGCAGCGAGGTCCTGCAGCGCGGGACAAGGGCTGTGCCTCTCTCCTATGATTTGGAGGGACAGCTGTGCCATCCTCCATTCCTTTATCCCATTTTTTTTGCTTTCCAATCAGGAGTCAGCCTACCTTGGAAGCATTTGTGCTGCAAACAGGTGACAAGGGGGAGTGGTGCTCTGCAGAGGGGAAACTGAGGCACAAGGGATGTGCTTCCTTAAAGCCATGGGGGAATCTCTGAAACAGGAGCAGGGAAAACCTCCAAGTCCCAGCTCCATGTTTTTCCACCAGGACTCTGCACAGCTTTCACTTGTCATCTGTATTTTTAAATGACAAGGAAAAGATTTTCTAAACCAGGGAAACGTGATTATTTTCCTTTCTCTCTCTCTTCCAGGTGCTTGGCTTAGCGTTGTAATACCACAAGAATGAAATCCATCTGAGTTGCTGTTGTCCTGCTGCTTAAAACCCCATTTTCTGTCAATATTGCTTCATTTTGATCAAGCTGCTTACATGTTTTATATTATTCTCTTTTTTCCCCCTCCATTTTGCTGCAGCATTTTCAGAACATTTTGTTTCTTGCACTTTCTGGTAAATACTTCTCAGTAAATAGCCTGGAAGTAAGAGAGGCAAAGGCATGAGAAAGTCTGGGCTTTCATTGTTGTGGTGTTTCGTATCTATTACATTTGTCAATGTGGAATTTAAGAAAAAAAAAAAAAAAAAAAAGGGAGGGGTGGGGGGAAAGAGGAATTTGCCTGTTTTATCCTCACTGGTGTTCAGACAGAGAGGTTGAACATTTGCTTCTGGAATTGCCCTTTGCCTTTAGATACTGCACAGGGCAGGTGTGTATCCCCAAATTCCACAGGGAGATGTGGACACAGGGCTGGGAGCAGGGGGTGCAAAGGGACCCCCTTTGCAGCTGTAGATGCAAACCTGGTCCCAGCACCAGGGCAGAGCCACCCAGCACCAGCTTAATATTCCTCCCCAAAGGCTGTTCCCCACAGCTCCCTGATTTTCTCAGCTTTTTAATTGGAATGATTCATTTCCTTCCACAACACAGCGCAGATTTAAATGAGATATCCGAGAGGAGCAGCTAATAATCAGTTTGCACTCGATTTGCTCTCCTGAATCAGGTGGAGGGGAGCTGATCTTGCAGGACGCTGCTCAGGCTGCAGCAAGCCAAAATTATGTCAGGAAGCTGATTTTTTTTTTATGTCCCTGGTCCTCTAAATCAAATTTGACTACCAATGTAGTCGAAACCACAGAGGTAATCAGTTAATAAAACTTCGTACTTACCTGCTACTTCCACTCAAGGATTTAAAGCCCTTTGCAAAGGTCAGTATTGCAATGATGAGAATTTTCCAGCTGAAATGTTTTCACTGGGAAGGAGAAATAAGAAGGGAAAAAAAAAAAAAAAAGAAGAGAAAAATATTCATGATTCCTGGAAGTTAAAAATTCTGCTGTTTTGGATGCAGGCAAGGAATAATATTTTTTGTGAGAGGAAAAGAAGAAATTGCCATGCAAATGTTAATGGTGTTTTGAAGCTTCACAGGAAAGCCTGACTTGTGTAGCAGCCTTAATATACATTAGTACCCCTCGTCTGCAAGCAAACAACATTTTGCAGAATAAACTGAAACACAACAGGGAGAGCCTTGGAATTATTTAGAAATCTAATTCCCACTGAAATCAGGCACTGAGCAATTTATTCCACATACATTTAAATCAGTGCTGCTGCCAGAAAAAAAGTACACCAAAAAATGCACCACCTGTAACCTGCCAGGCACGGGGACACCACTGCAGCTGTGGCCACTGCCAGAATCCCTGCCAGGGCTGGAGGTGATGTCCTGGTGGAAAATGCATTCCAGGAGTGGAGAAATGCAAGCTCCAAGCCCCACTTTTGCACCTCTTTCTCCCAGGGACATGAGCAGGCAGGGATGGGCAAACCAGCACACGTGGACAAACCCAAATAAGCTTGATTTCCTTAGGGATGCAGGCTAAAAATAATAATAAAAGCTCTTCATTTGCAGGGTGACTCCCCCTGCGCTGAGAGCAGAGCCTGCGTGCAGTGCTTGTGTTTCAATCAATAAAACTCAGTTCCACGCTGCTCCAAAGCCAGGTTTACCCACCTGGCACCAGTTTAGCTTGTTAGCACAAGTGCATTTTAGAAAGTTATCCTTTTTTAGCCACACCAGGGCTGGTAGTCATGGTTTGACCATGGTTTAGCCATGGTCCCACCAAGGTAAGCAGGAAGCTCCAGAACAGCAGGAAGAGCTGTGCAGCCTTTTTTTTTTTTTTTTTTTTTTTTTCAAACTCACCTTGCAGTAATTAAAGTCCACAGCTGTAATTACTTTCTCATTTTGGTTTAATAATTGCCTCAGCCATCCCCACATGCCCCTCAGACTGGTGATGAGGGAGGCTCTGGCCTTGGTAGGCATATAAAGTGTAGTGGTAAGCAATGATTTTATTGTTTTGAATTTGATTTTTGGGCACCTCTATTCTGCCCCCAGACTCCTGCTGGGTGAAAATGAAAGGATGTTAAAAAAAAAACTACAAAAGGATAAAAATTGTGATTAAAGAGAGGCCCTTTTGTCCCTTTGCCCAGTCCTGCAAAATGACAGTGGGAAGTGCTTGTACAGGATCCCAACATTACAAACAAAACTTTATTTTGTGGGGAGGTAGGGTATTTTTAATTTTCATTCCCAGCTCCAATGTATGCTTTGCGGAGGTGTGAAGAGCTGCTGCTCCCCTCCTGGAGGAAATAAGGGTACAGCTCTGGGGGGGGGGGTCTCCCAGAGGAGTCCCCCCATCTCCAGCTCGCTCTGGACTTGTGGGAGGTTGTTGGATATAATTTATCTCTGGGGTGGGGTGGGCACACGACATACACACATTATGTCCCCCTCTCTTTTGCCGGAATTTTGGGAGTATTCCCCTGTCTTTCAGGGGGAGGCTCTGGCTGCCCCCCTGAAAGGAGGGGAAGGCACGGACTGCCCGGCAGGGAGGTGAGGAGGGGTCCAGCGCTGCCGGGACCGATGGACACCAACCCCCCCGCGTTAAATTCCGAGCTGGGGCGGGCAGAGCCGCGCAGGTGTTGGCGCTGCTGCTTTGGGTGCCCCGTTGGGCGGCGGCGGGGGTGAGCATCCCTTCCTCCCGCACACCGGGGCCGGAGCAGCCCCGGCGCTGCCCGCTCCCCCCGGCGCGCAGCGCTCTGGGGAGGGGGCAATGCGCGAACCTTCCTCCCCGCGCCGAGCCGGCTGCGCGCAAGTTACTCCCCCTTTCCCCGGCACTTTGCCTCCCTCCCCTTCCCCCCCGCTCCAAAAGCCGGGCTGCGCCGCCGAGGCTCCGCCAGTGAAGGCAGCGCTGCCGGGGGAGGAGCTGGGGGGGCGGCGATGGAGCCGCGCGAGCGGAGCCGGCGGGCGGCGGCCTGAAGCCCCCGCCGGCAGCGGCAGCGGAGCCCCGAGCCCGAGCCCACCCTGAGGAATGAGCGCTTTCCAGGCAGACCTCCTCCTCCTGCTGCTCGGCTGCCTCCTGCTCAGCCACGGTAGGACCCCGCACTTTCCGAGCGGGGCGGACGCGAGGAGCCGAGGGGGGGTCCCCGGCTCGGGGTGGGGTGCGGGGGCTGCGTGCGGGTTTTGCGAGGGGAGCAGGGTGCGGGGGAGAGAGGGAGGATTGCAGAGTTTTCCCTCCTGCATCCCCGCCGAGGCGGCTTACCGTTCTTTCCTTTAAAAATAAGCAAAAAATCTTTAGTATGCAAATGAGTGCTTTCTGTTCCAGCTTGGTAAATTGGATCGGGTTTGTGTGTAAACACGGCTTGGCTGAGTAACAGCCCCCCACACCTCCCTCTCGCCCCCATCGCCTCCCGGTGCTTCCCCCGGTGCAGGAGGGCGATGGATGCTCAGTTTCGGTGCCGCGGAGGAGCCGCTCGGGCTGGCGGCAGCGGCTCCAGCCCGGGGACAGGAGCCTGCGGCCGAGGAGCCGGGCTAGGGAGCGATTTGCGCCGGGGGGCTGCGAGGAAGGAGAGTTGCTCCCAATGCAGGCAGCCCGGGGGAGGTGGGCACCCCGCGGGGGTGTCACCGCCCCATCCCACCTCCCCACAGCGCGGGCAGGAGCGTGGGAATCCGCAGGAATTCACCCCGCAACTTTGCAACCTGCTTGATTCCCACGCAAAAAATAAATGTAAAAAAAAAAAAAAAGGATTAGGGAAGAGGGTGCGTTTTGGGAAGCTGTATCTGACATGGTGCTGGGTGGCTGCTCCTGGACTATCTGTCACCTGTGGAAAACGCTGAGCTGCAGCCAGACCCCGGCTTCGCCTCTGTGCTGCTCATCCCCCCCCAACGCCGGTGTCAAATCCCATCTGTGTCACGCCGCCGTGGTCCCCACGCCAGCTTTTGTGAGGGTACGGCTTGGGGATGCTTGGGAAAAAAAGAAAAAAGGGATAAAAAAACCCCAAACCCACGCAGCTAGTCCATCTGTTGATTAAATGAAGGATAAAACTTTTGGAGAGAGTAGTGCTTCTCCACGGGCAGCTGGTTTTTTGCTCAGCCAGACAGTGCTGAACATCCCCCACCATACGCTGGGTTTCACCCTATTCCCCGAGCAGGGACGCCTTGTTTGTGGTGTCTGTGCTCCTGGTTATCCTTCCCTCTTTTCCTGGGCTCGGATGTGATGTTGGGCTCTTATACCGTTTTCCCTTTTCTCTTCCCTCACTCCCTGCTTGTACTAATATTCCTTCGGGGAGAAAGCTGTGTTTGCATTTGCCTTTGCTGCTGCACAAAAGAAACCCACTGTGTCCTCGGTGTGGGTTTCTGGCTGAACAAACCTGAACTCTCGCTGGTACAGCAGGGCAGCGGCGGGGCCGGGCGGAGCAGCAATTTGGGAGCTGCTCCCGGCCTTCCGCATCCCTCGCTGCTCGCACGGACCCTGTCAGTCCCTGCAGGTCAAATGGCACTTTGCTGGCGGGGCTGGAGAAGTTTGTGAGCGGGCTCCAGCCGGGATTTGTTGGGTTCTCCCCCCGCTCCTTCCTTTTGCAGCCATAATTTTAATGTGGGTTAATGCACTTTTTAATAGCGCTGGCGTTGGGAAGCCACGGCGGCTCCTCGGCTCTGCTGCCTGAGCTCAGCCGGTTTGTCTCCTGCAGGATCGTGCATCTGCTACCTGCTTATTCATGCCGGGTTAGGAGGCACAGAGAGCGCCTTGCAGAGCATTTTCTCGGCTGTTTTCTCCCACAGGATGAGCCAAGAGCGTTTCTGTGGAGTTGCCACTCTCCAGCAGCACCGTGGCTCTTCCCGTGCAGAGGATCCCTAACAGGATTTAATGCCCAGGGCTCCTTCAGCCACACAGTGCTGTGGGGAGGAAAGGCCTGGATGGAGGTGCTGAAGCTGATTTTCCAGCACGTGTTGTGTTTGCCTCCCCTCCAGCAGCAGCTGTGGTGTGTCCAGATGTGGTGGCACTGGCTGGTGGTGACAGAGGTGTCCCTAAGGTGTGGGATTGGGATGCTGTGTGGAAACGCATGGGGCAGCCCTGCCTTGCCCAGGAGGAGCTGCTGATCCAAAACTCACTTCAAGGGACCACTAAAATCACTTGTTTCTGCCCTTCAGGAGTTTCAGGAGCTCCTTTTTGTGGGCAAGGGTCAGGAAGGGCTGTGTTTTCTTGCCAAAGTGGCTTGAAGGGATTTGCCAGAATTAAATTCCCCTGAGACAAAGGCAGCAGTGCTGGACGGATCACCTATGCTAAAAACCCTACTTGGGATCTCTGATCTGGACACTACTTAAAAAAAAAAATCTTATCTCAAACCTCCCCAAAAGGGCATTTTCCATCACGGGATTTGTACACTTGTGCCCTTGGGTTTGCATTTCATGGGCATCCTGGTGATATCCTGGCATCCTGCTGTTCCTGCAGCCCATGCAGGCTGGAACTTGGGCTTCCAAAGGAGCTTGCAGGAGGAGGAAGCTGCTTTTTTCTCCACTCTGGGGCCATGCTGCACCTGGGCACCCCAGGCATGGCTCAGCCTGGGAGGGAGGAAGATCTGTCCCACAGCTCACTGCTTCAGGGGGTCTGGGCAGAACAAATTGCCTTCCCTGGGGCATCCTCTGTCTTCCCCCCTTGCAAATAGTCTGAAGAAGCCTGTGCTGGCTCTTTCTGAGGGTTGATAGGTCAGTGCTCCAGGGCTGGTTTGCCCTGGTACCACTCACACCAAACTGTCAGGGCCACGACTTTGGTGGGAGGGAGAGAAAGTCGCAGCACAAGTGGCGTCCTGTGGAGATGGGATGTGTGGTACCCTTGGTGGGGAGGAATTGCTGCTGCCATGAATCTGCCTGCCTTTGCTTCTGCCTGGGGAATAACTCACCCATCCCTCCCCTGCTGCAGTGCCAGCCAAACTGGGGGAGGCTGGAGACAACTGGGGGAGGCTGGAGACAACTGGGGAAGGTGTCTCGGTGTGGGAGGTGGGGCTGTGGGGAGAGCACCACTGAAGAGACACCTGCAGCCACCTCCTCCTCTCACTGGCCTGTACTAGATGGATTTGGCAGCATCTTAAATTTACCTTGGATGGGAAGATTTCTGCCTGTCTGGGGCTCTCTTTCCAAAGGCATGTTTGCTTTCCCTCAGGGTGATGAATACCAAGTTCTCTGGGTGTTGCAGGGTATGTTTTTCTCCTTCACAGTTCACTTGGTTCCTCCCTGGAAGCAAATGCTTTACAATCTTCTGTCAGAGGGGCCATTATCTGCAGCAGTGGCTCAACTTCCCCCTGGCTCAGCAGCAGCCCCCAGGTGGAGAAGGGTGAAATCATGCTGATGAGAGAAACCAGGCCAGTTCCACCCACCAACACTGATTTGGACCAAGAGATGAGGATTTTCACATCTTGGGGGTGGTTAGTGGATGATGGGGAGGGAAAATACAAGGTTTGGGGTGCTGGGAGTGTGTGTGCAAGAGCTGGGGCCCTTGGGGGGTTTCTGTGTCTGACAGCCACGAGTCTGTTAATGAAAAGCCTGGAAATCTGTGGTTGTGTTCCCTCTTCCGTGTTAATTCCTCCTGCCATGTGGAGAGCAGGGCAGCTTTGCAAGGGGAGTGTGTTGGGCTGTTCTTAAACCCAGCAGGGCAGTGTCAGCACTGGGAGCTGTTTGGGAAGCATCAGGAGTGGAAGCATCCAGTGAGCTTTAAAAATGATGGTGAGGAAGAGCTCCTGAAGCCCAAGAGGTCACACCTCAGGATATTCTGTGGTTCTGGGACTGGAAATGGTTGAGTAGAAGACAGAGATGGTTTGGAAAGTGCTTTGTGAGGTGCTGCTGGTGGAAAGGTGAAGGTTTGGTGGGGGCAATGCATTCCTTCCATGGGAAGGAAACTGAAATAAGCCTCAAGATAAAACTGGTGTTGTCCAGTCTGTGCTGTCCCAGAGGAATGGTGCAGAATTGCCTCCTCCAACACCTGTTTCAACACAATTTAGGTTTCCCATCTCCCATCTGTACCTCCTGCAGTGAGAGCCACGTGAGGGCCACTGATGACTTTGCTCAAATCAGCTTTTCTTGCAAGGTTTCAGCTCTCAGAAAAGCACAGGAGGGAGGAGCTGGGGTTTTGCTCAGGTGCCCTGTGCCAGAGGGAGGGGAGCTGGGCAGATGTTCCTCCTCGGAGTTAACACCACATCCCCACCAACCTCCCCCTTCCAAGGTTAAGCAGAGGTGCCCAGGCAGTTTATGCACAGCACATCTCAGGCTGATGTCGATTATTTCTGTGCTTTCCTGTTGGTTTAGGGGACACCAACTGGAGTCTGAACGTGCCTAGAAATCCCTGACAGGTTCCCAGCACCGCGTGTCACCGGCTCCAGCCACTCTGTAGTCAGACTGCAAATGTTAGGATAAAAAAGCTCCGTGCTCTTCTTTCTTTTGTAGCTGTAAATAAAGAGGGGAGAGGCCAATGTGCCCCTTAGGTTGTGAGCTGGCTGAGGATCAAGGGCTTTGAATAAACTGTTTTCTTCCTGTGAGCAGCCTGTGATGGAGAGTGTGGCTGCTCCAAACCTCTGATTTAATGATTGGCTTTGCAAGTTTGTACAGTGCTCTCAGCTCCTCAGCACGCTGGGTGCAGGGGGCTTTATGGAAATGCTGCTGGAGAATTGGCTTTACATCACTTCCAGAATCCTTCCAGTAGGATTAAACAGCTTCTATTTCTTTATTTATTTAAAGCCCAGCAAATTTATACCAACAATTGCTGAAGTCCTAATTTATCTTCTGTTCAGGAGCAGTACAAGTTTTTCCTTTGGCTTCATTGAGAGGCACCTCTGGCCAAAGAGAGCAACAGAGCCACTGTGACCATGTACAAGCTTATTTTATAAATCAATAGGTAGTGAAACAAATTGGTTGTAAATCAGTCTCTTATTTGCTGAGATTTAAGGCCTTTGTGTAGCTGTGAGTTTTCGAGGTGGTCTGCCCTGCCTTCAGGGCTGGCACATGGCCTGGCTCTTGCAGGGATGTGGGAACCCAGTACTCATTTCAAACACACCAGAGAAGTGCAGGATTTCTTGCCTGGGAAGAAATAAAGTTTAAAACCTGT